ATACATACATACATACATACATACACACATACATAGGTACGTACATACATACATTACATTACATTACATTACATTACATTACATTACATTACATGCATACATACATCCATACATACATACATACATTACATACATACACACATACACACACATACACACATACACACATACACACATGCATACAAACATTACATTACAATACATTAAACTACATTACACTACATTACATACATTGCATACATTACATACACACATACATACTGCATACATACATACGTCCATACTTTACATACACACATACATACTGCATACATACAAACGTACATACATTACATACATACATACATTACATTACATAACGCACATACATATATTACATTACATTACATTACATTACATTACATTATATTACATTACATTACATACATTACATACATACATCCATCCATCCATTCATCCATCCATACATCCATCCATCCATCCATACATACATTCATGCATTACATACATTACATACATTACATACATTACGTACATTACGTACATTACATACATACATTACATTACATACTTAGGTTACATTAGATTACATACAAACATACATTACATTACATAACATACACACATACATTCATACATACATACATGCATGCATGCATGCATACATAGATATTCTGTACATGTAAGTATAAGAATACATATATATATATATATAATCTCAACTTCAGAGAACAGGGATATGAACATATCAAGTCAATAACCACATTCACAGTGAAACACATCGTTTGGTGATTTTGATTCAGGGTGGAGGTTCCGACGTTTTGTTTCAAACGTACGTCAGTCCCACATATGATGAATGTGCTAAGCCCAATAAAGCAAGGTTGCACTAAAAATTGCTTTGTTCGAGTGATCTTCCACCAACTAATATTCTATGGGACACATATTCTGGCACTATAATTATCGGGCATTCTATCTGACATATATTCTGACATTCCATCTGGCATATATATTCTGACATTCTATCTGGCGGTCTTTGTGGCATTCTATCTGACATCTGGCGCTGGCCGTTGAGGTCTGCCATTGCCGACTGACATCACACGCTCGCCGTTGACATCTGGGAGTGCCTGGCGCTCGCAATTGAGGTCCAGTGCCCGCTGTGAGCTCTGGAGCTCGCGGTTGAGGTCCGGCAGTGCCCACTGAGATCTGGAGCTCGCGGTTGAGGTCTGGCGGTGCCCACTAAGATCTGAAGCTCGCGGTTGAGGTCCGGTGCCCACTGAGATTTGGAGCTCAGTTGAGGAGGTTGAGGAGGAGGTGGGCGGCATGCAGCTCTGATAAAATCTAGAGAACCTCACCTGGCAGGGAGGGAATGTGTTGAACTAGTTTGTTGAAACCTGTAATGTCACCCCTAGATAGAACGCCCTCGGCAGCCTGGGCGGCTTAATTTCTCTGGTGGCATTTTAGGTGATCATTATTTGGTGGCAACCCTCCCTAGACCAAGGTTGATGAATCTGGGTTTGACACTGGCCACTACTTGCTTTTCAAGATTTCTACATAAACCTCTGCGGGCATCCCTTAAATAGCTAGAGCCCACGATTCCAGGCATGTTAACTGACTGATGGCTACGCATTAGACGAACACAACTATGCATTAATACATCTTAATATCAATCATATCCCTTAGGCCGTAGGAATCGTCCCAGTACTAGAAATATCAAAGAGCACCCACATGACATTACATGTATACATATTTATATATCACATGATATGCATAGAATATATACATATATAATCCCTGTGTGCATTCTGCAGAGAAGTTGTGCCCACTAAACCGTTTACAAACACAGCCTTATACTACAAAATGAAGCTTGAATCTGAACCAACCCCCCTTGCTACAAAATGGTTTGGGTGTTTTTATGATGGATCAAAAGCCAATGTCGGTCACTACAAAATGACTTTACGGAACCATTTTGTAGTGAAAACGGGTTGCAATGAAAATAATGATTCGCTACTAAATGGGTCATAGCATTTACTAGGGGAAATGCTATGGGGCAGCAAAAACGATCTGAGCGCACAACTTCAGTTTCAATTGATTGGTTTTGAAACCAAATCTGTCCCATTTTTCCTTCTTAAAGTCTCTACATAAAAAGCATGCTTTTCGAACTTTTTGGGGCTTATCTGGAGGGGGGCGCAGTAGGTTCTACAAAAGGTTGTGCACGCGTGTGTCACTACAAAATGCAGTGCATGACGCAAGTCATCCAGACTTAGCACGACCAAAACGCAGAACGCAAAACGCACGTTCTGGAACGCGTGTTCCGAACGCAGGGGTTTTTTAGTGGTTTTATGGATCCCAGAAGCCTCCCAATCCTTTTTTTGCTCCTTGCAAAAAGGACCCGCTGTGTCACATAGAATTTTTCAACAATGTTTCAAAGTATTCTTAGACCTCTGCTATTAGCACTACGATAAAATTTGTGAGAGGTCAGAATCTTTTCCTTTCAGAGAAAAAAAGGATCCGGGAAGGAAAGCTAACTTGCCCCACAAGCCTGGTGAGGCCAGAACTTTTTTGGCTTCACCCAAAAAAGGATCCGGAGTTGGGAAGATCAACTTTCTGGTGGCTTCATACACCATTTTGAGCCCATAAGAGCTCTCAAATTCCTTTTTTATTTGGGGGGAAAAAGGTTTCAGTGTCCAAGCCCAGGAAATAAGTTAACTTTATATCATTAGAAAAAAAGGATTCACTCAGAACGCGCGTTCTGGAACGCGAGTTTTTAAAACGCGCGTTCCCAACGCCCAACCGTACCGAACGAACATGCTAAGCATCCAGAAACTAGGACATCACGCATCGAATCTGTGCTTTGTGACATTGTGGGTGAAAGGAACTCTGAGCATGGATTCGTTGAACTGGGGTGAAACTTGACTATTGGACAAAAAGAGCAGGAACCTAGTAGAATGGGATAGATTTAGATTTTAATTAATAATCGCATGTGATGGCCAAAAAAGGTGTGACAAAAGCACGGCGCAGAGGTTTTGAACTGCAATCGTCAGAGCTATGGGGCAGCAAAAACGATCTGAGCGCACAACTTCAGTTTCAATTGATTGGTTTTGAAACCAAATCTGTCCCATTTTTCCTTCTTAAAGTCTCTACATAAAAAGCATGCTTTTCGAACTTTTTGGGGCTTATCTGGAGGGGGGCGCAGTAGGTTCTACAAAAGGTTGTGCACGCGTGTGTCACTACAAAATGCAGTGCATGACACAAGTCATCCAGAAACTAGGACATCACGTATCGAATCTGTGCTTTGTGACATTGTGGGTGAAAGGAACTCTGAGCATGGATTCGTTGAACTGGGGTGAAACTTGACTATTGGACAAAAAGAGCAGGAACCTAGTAGAATGGGATAGATTTAGATTTTAATTAATAATCGCATAATCGCATGTGATGGCCAAAAAAGGTGTGACAAAAGCACGGCGCAGAGGTTTTGAACTGCAATCGTCAGAGCTAAAAACGATCTGAGCGCACAACTTCAAATTCAATTGATGGGTTTTGAAACCAAGTCTGTCCCATTTTTCCGTCTTAAAGTCTCTACCTTATTTGTTTTTTTTCGAATTTTTGGGGGCTCATCTTACCACGAAATAATCGTGAGTCAAGAGCCAAAAATGGTCTGAGGGTCCAAGCTATATGTTCATGTGACCGAGCATGACTGGTAAAAGAGGGCTATAGGGTTTCCGGCACGACACAACGCATCCCAAAATAAATCACTACAAAATGCGTTTCCGATTTATGAGTGTAAAATGGAACGCCGCTACAAGATACAGTGCACACCCTTTTACTGCAAAAACTGGTGCACGGGTCCATTTTTTTTGCTTGAATTATCCACGAATCAGAGGATGGTACCAAGCACGTGTTCACCCTTTTAGTAGTGGAAATGGTAAGGGGGATCATATATATGTATATGTTACACACAATATGTATATATATATATATACATACATACACAGACACATGTGCATTTATACATATGACGGTTTGCCATTTTTCCTGGTTTTGTTGATAAATCGTAATTCCTTGTGTGCCGCTTCTTATTGCGCCTTTAAAACCATGACTGACCGAAATAGTCTGAAACTCTGCATTTTAATTTTATCTTTCATGTTTGAAGCCGTAGCTAAAGCCTGCAGTAAATGCTAACGCGCGTCTATATGAAGTGAATGCCGCTACTAGTTGTTAGTGGTGGAACTGGAATATCTGCAGAGCTGGTCGTTGCCTTTGCTGTCACTGTTGCTTTTGTCAAACAGACAGGATAAACTACAAGTTCTCTGGTGGCGACTGAGTCACGGGTCAACCAAAACCGTTTTTTGAAACTTTTGCTAGCGCATTGCTAGCGGGGATCTAGCGGGTAAAATTACGTACAACTTCGCAAAGTTGAGCCGCAACCTCAAAAATATAGGACAATTGTTGAGTAGCACAGAAATTCACTAAGACATCCTTAGGTTTAAGGAGCTAAGTGTTACATCTTGACTTTTCTTCATGTTGAAATAACAAGCAGACAAGAACACAAAAAAAAATCCTTGAACATGGGTGTGAAAAAAAAACTAGCGCGAGCCTAGCGGGTTTGGTAGCGCTGCCTTGCAGAATTGGTGAATTTAGTTGCGTGCCGCCTCATAACGAAGAGGAAAAACAAGTAGGTCCACACTAATTGTCAACAACTAGTACAAAACTTCTGTCAACTATTTTTGTCAAATGGACATATGGCTACCCCTACCAACATCTCTGTGTGTGTGGATGCCGTCACGTCTCCTTTTCTTCACATCGTTCACAGCCTGCGCCAATTTGCCTCACTTTGTGAGTCGCAAAGCCCTGGACAATGCTGAAGATTTCAAACCCAACTCAGAGTTGGGAACCTCTTGTCAAACAAACTATAGCGGGTAAAACAATGCCATAAACCACCCATTTGGGAATGGTATCCATACCACCTATAAAAATGGTGATGACTGGGGGGTGGTTTATGGCATTGTTTTACCCACATTACAATAATTACTAAAAACTATGCACATTGCACATGAACTTGCTCCCAAGTCTCTTGAATAACGGCCCAGGGCACAAGACTTTGTTGCGCCCCAAGAGATATCTTCACTAAGCACAGGCACACGCGGAAACGTGGGCTCAAACGTCAGCATGGCTCAGGGAGAGAGGAGCAAGGAGCACAGGACCAGAACATACTGAGAAGGGAAGTTGCCAGTTGTAGTGCCCTCGGGTCGACAGGGGGTTCGAGGAAGAGGAGCGATATGTAATCAGTTGGACCGTTACATCTGCCGTTTGGTTAAAGCACTGTTTTTGTTGACTCGTCAGTAAAGCCAGGAACAGCAACAAATTTCAGATGATAGTGGATGGTTCACGTCAACATGGGGTGGCAGCAAACGTCAAGGTAGCTTGTAAGATGCAGAGGCTTCCTAGGTCCAACTACCTGGGACAAAAAAAGAAACTTGAAATGCAGCCCGACAAAAAGTATTGCATATTCTGCTTTTCCAAGAAGTTGGGGTTCCAGCCATGCCAATTTCAGGTTCAGATAGGTGTAAGTCAGAGTGAGGGTGGCCTTGTGACGAGACAACAAATGGATGGAATATTCTGTGCGGCACGGGGTTTTCTCAAAATTGGAATCCCCAAATCCTACGGTCTATGATAATTTTACCTCTCAGGTGACAAATCCTTGGAGATGGATTGTATGTAACATACATAAACTCTGGAAAACCCTTATTAATAATAAACCATCCTCAATATCACTATAAAATTATGGAGCGTAAACAAAATCATCCCCAAATGATAGGTCTAAGATGGTCTAAGGTGTTCACCACTTTCGTGTATCCTGGCTTCCAGATCCACTTCGGTCAACTCATTGTGTTGGCTGAACATCAAGTCTGGTGAACTCCACCATGTTTCTGGGACGTGTCTTGTGTACACTCTGGTAAACTAACATAGCTATTGAACATGACCATTTATAGTGGAATTACCCATTAAAAAAATTTGATTTCCCATGGTTACGTTAGTTTACCAGAGGGTAAATGCCTTTTAATGGTGAACATGATGATTGACCAGTCGATGGAATTAATAATGCACCCGCAAAAAATGAGAGAAACCCTCAACAGGTTCAATGCAGGACCCAGTTCCGGCTTCCCCCTTGCATCGAAGCTTCAGCTTCGTCTTCAGCAGTTGAAGTTGTGCTTGTCACCCGACTGGTGCTGGTGCCATCCTTGGAGATATGGATGGCGCAGGTTTCCAAACCACGTGGATCAGTGAAACTTCCAGTGTTCAGCCAGTGGGGCCCCATTTTAAGGTGGTTTTCTGACTTGAGAGCGAACATCCTGTCATATATCTATGGAACATGAATAATACACTCAAGAGCCTGTCATATGTATATATCATTATATATCTATGGAACATGAATAATATACTCAAGAACCCAGCAAAAACTAAGCTGGAATCTGAAAGTTGGGCCTTACATGGCTACTTGTATAATAACAAGCCCTCTCGCAGGCTGGTCCCAGGGTCAAAACATGTCAAAGCATCAACTGAAGATTGATCATCGCAAAACATGTTTCTTTTAGTGGGTTTCCTATTCGTTTAGAAAATGCTGAGCCACAACATTTCTCAACTTTGGATGCTTGGTAATCCCGAAAAACCAGGAAGTGAGGACCCACAGCGACCAGGCATCAGTGGTTGTGCTGAAAGTGGTGGATCTGAAGGTAGTGGTGGCAGTAGTGGTGGTTTGGGTGGTGTTGGAGTTGTTGACCATGAGAAAAGCTTCCTGGCTGTGGCGACGTTGACAGATGGAACTTGCTATTAGCCTGGTACCTTGGGGGATGTTCACGAGCCAATCGCATGGGCATGGAAGATATACCCTCTGGTAGACGAACAGTTTGCTATTGAAGCCATGGCCATAGATTTCGTTGATTTACCCATCAATAGCATGGTGATTTTCCATAGTTATGTTTGTTTACCAGAGGGTATCCGTGTCCACGGCTCATGATTTCCGCAGCTTTGTATTCTTGTCGTCCTCTTTATCGTCCCTAGTGCCGGACTCAAAAACCAGGGCCTGGCTCCTTGCTAGCACGATGACAAGATGGAGTATATGCATAATGTGAGCAGCTAAAATCATGCACAACTATATGGGTAGATCTTCAACAAATATGAGTCGGTCTTCTCGAAAGATACTGCTACAGTCCACACTACTCACCTCCAAGTGAGCAGCATCCAAAACCAAGGATGTAAATTGGTTCTGATGGTTGGGCCATGTTGGGTCACAAGGACTCTCAATGCATGGGTATGAGAATTCACATGAAATGTAATAGAACATTAGAAACCATCAGGTCTGAAGTCTGAAGCGGATGACTTTGCTACTTGAATCTACTGTACTTGATATGGGACTTGTTAGGCGCCTCATATATCTTCAAATTGAGTGGTCTACGGAGTCAATATCCTCATGTTTTTCATGTGGTCCATGGGCATACAAGCACCAACCATCATCATCATCATCATCATCAACAATTCCAGAATTTATCTGATTTTTGATCCCAATTTCCGACCCAGGTCATCCCACCCAGATTTCCCTCCAGCCGTCGTCGTCTTTGTCGCCGTGGTGTCTGTCACAGTGGTGGTGCTGCTACCCAGCTGACCCGCGGTCCAGGAGTCGCCGGCATCGAAGGAAACGAAGGGCGGACCAAAGACCTGCAGAAATCTGCCCAAATGGGGGCAGGAACCAAAAATAGGTCAGTCTGGCTGACTTGGTTTCTCGCAAAGCCACGAAATGCATGGCAACACACCAGCAGAAAAGCATGGTTTTCTGTACATCTTCTCTTCATCCAATTCTAGGAATTGAGGGAAGGTGAAACCAACAATATCACTGGGTGCTGAATCAACCTTTGGTCCCTCGGACCCCGCGCGCAGAATGTTTTTTTTTTGAAACCCAGCGATGGCAATCACAATTTATGCACCCAGTCATGGGTGGTTTATGGCATTGTTTTAACCATATTAATTACACATGATAGAAACCATGCGATGAAACAAACATCCCATCATCCCAGTCTTAACACCAGTCATAGGCAGCTACTGACCCATGACCGGGGAAGGGTTCTGAGTCAAAGATCCTATAGAGCTTATGCTCAATCCCAGTTGAGAAATACAATACAAGCTGGTGCCCCCGTTCGATAACTAAGTTGGTGAACATAACTCCAATAACTATGGTTTTTGTTGGTGATATATCTATAGTATTCATGGGGTTTATACGCCAATTTATAACGTTTGGGGGCACCACCGTTGGTGATGCATCCCAGGTTCATCAGCCTGGCGACATCCCACATGATACATGGGTAAATCACCATGTTTAACCTTCATATAATATCTGGTTGGTGGTATACCTACCCCTCTGAAAAATATCAGTCAGTTGGGATTATTATTTTCAATACTCATATGGAAAAAACATGTTCCAAACCACCAACCAGATATAACAATGTCTAAATATGATCTCGTAGGTTATGTAAATCCCTAATCCTGTCCGCATTAAAACAGTTTCCCTGATTATATTAATCACAATTTCTTGTTGGCCAACTTAAACCCACCAGTGTCGTCTTCACGCCATGGCACTCCTCCACTCACCATCCACAGACCATCCTCGGAGACAGCCACGTGGGTGCAGCCGCTGCTTCCGTCGAAGCTGGACGGGGCCCACGTCAGCCCATAGTCGAAGGAGAGGTAGAGCCAACCAGGATAGTATCCTGAACCCATCAAGTTTTATCTGAAACATTCAAATGGTGATTTGCCTAGCATTTACATGAGTTTTGTATACTGTAGCTTTCCAATGTTTTCAAGAAGAAAAACTATGGGATGCAACGATAAATGATGGTTGATCTGTGAAAAGATCAACGGGAATTGAATGGGACTCCATTTAACCATCAATCATATATTATACGTATAATTTATATACTGGTTTTAGTTTTTGTTTTGGACCAATATGTATCAAACATATGGTGATATCAGTGACAAGTGATGGTTGATTGATCTCCTTCCTGGCTGATTGAGGAGTATGACAGAACCACGAATTCGCAACATACCCCAGAAGTAACCTGTCTACAAACCACTGAACAACAGTAATCAGTTGGTATCATCATCCTAGGGAAAACAATCGAAACAAACAACCAGTTGACACCACCAGCAAAAACGTTATAGATAGTGACAAAGTATGCGAAGAGAAACAAAGACTATACTTGGTGATGGGATAGACTAGTCCTCTAGTGCTAGTAAGTGGTATAATGCATTAAAATGTTGTATAATACTGAAATCACAATAACGTATTAAAATACAATGATTGTCAAAGTCTGCCTGAGAACGAATGCTATCCATCATCGCAGGAATCCAGCAGGGTCTCCTTGATGTGTATTGTTCCTGGTGAGCCCTTGCGGCAGGAGTGCTCCCTTTAAAGGCACCATCGGAATCCACCACCGATCTCCGCGCCATTCGATTTGAAGATTTTGTCAAAGCCTGTGTATCTATGTTTTTTTAATTGCCCCTCATCCCCCATCATGACACCATGATCATCATTTGGTTGTTGAATTCGCGGATTTAAATCTATTATATAATATCCCTTTTGCCATCCATCACTATCATCTATGTCTGTGTGTCCAACCCCAAACTTTGTTGGTCAAGTCCCAGATTGTCCAAAGCATCTCCAATAAACCACCAATTATTCTGCAATATTTAGGTGATAATCCCTGCTCCAGATCTTTCCCATGGATGTCAACGCCCCAGTGTTTATGGAGTAAGATCCACATTCTCATCAAACAAAGACATGATTATCATGCACTATTATCGATTTCATTTGGCTCAATGCCATACACTTACCCCCGTTGAAATGTGATTAAGATGCTTAAGTCTGCGGCCCAAATTCACCTCATCCATACCAAGCCACCATGTTCATCCATCATGTTCTTGTTTCTTTAAACGCCGCAAGGCAATATTGCTGGTTGTAAAACATATATTCAAGACTCATTGTTTACCTCCCATGAAATGAGCCATCCCCCAACCAACCAATCCATACAAGTCACCATTCTCCTCCATCGTCCCATTCAATCTCCCATTAAATTCCCATTGCAGAATGATTATAGTATTATTATGGTTTAATGGGAGATTGAATGGAGTATGGATAATATCACTCTCCCATTCAATATCCCCATTGGACATCGATAAATCATTGTATTGGTTTAATATACCATTAATAATAAAGTCCATTATGGTTGGCGATTCCCCATCCATCAGTTCTTTGGTATATATTATACACCCTGCTAACTGGATATGAATAACTAGTTCTATACACATATACCAACTTAGCCATCTAGAAATTAGAAACGCCATGTTCTCATTAATCCCAATCAATCTCTATAAATCCCATTGAATCTGGCCAAATGACTATAATTCCATGTGCCCTCCGGTAATCATGGTTTGCAGGACAGGTTCCAATGATTTCGATGATTTTCCGGGCGAATTTCCCTAACCCAAACCTACCAGGCCACTCAAACTAATCTGGTTGGTGGTATACCTACCCCTCTGAAACATATGAAAGTCAGTTCGGATTATTCTTTCCAACATATGGAAAAAATAGCACATGTTCCAAACCACCAACCAGAAATTAGAGATATATCATCTGATCATGATATATTCCCCGTCATCCTCACAAATCACACATAATCACATACAATACAAGTCTGGCCAAATTGGAATTTCCGGATATGTTCAGTACCTATCACATCAAAAATCTGGCGAAAATAACCCATCATGTTGGATTGTTGATAATTGCCCATAATTGGATAATTTTGGATAATGCGGGTAAAACAATGCCACGTTTACCATTTCGCCAGTCATCACCATTTTCATAGGTGGTATAAACTTCCCATTCCCATTCATGGGTGGTAAAAATGGCACTGTTTTAACCACATTATAGGGATTTACATTTCCATAGGGGGTTATCACCACAATTGTCCATAAATAACCCAAATCTCCAAATGAGAATTTCCATTCACATCCATTTAAGGCCTCCTATGGATCTTGGGATAATCTGATACTTTTTTATGGTCCCCCCCAATTGAACAGCCGTTTCGGGTTTATTCATCCAGGGACATTATTTCCAGTACCCTGAACCAGATTTGATCTGGCCCAACCCAAATCTTCAAATTAGAATTTGCAGATATTTCCAGTACCTTGATGTATATGGCAAAATGAAAATTAACAGATATATCTTATACATCCTTATACCAAGTCACCCAATTCTTCAAAGACAATCGCCAGCGTTTTTCCATCCCTGGACGCTGCAATCCCCAGCTCGCTGGCCGCGTGCGAACTGCTGACCAAACGCTCCGTCCTTGGCGCAACGTGGCATTTTTCACCGGGGCAGAGATTTGAAACCAAGATATTGATGGGATCATGGAGATTGAAACTATACACTACACATCATTATACATCATTATTCTACATAATCTGGATATTCAACCTAATCTATGAACATTGTATTCTGTGTGTATGTATTGTTCTTGAACAAGTAACATAATGAATTAAGCACTGAATCTGCATTTGGTTCAACAGAAACACATGAAAGCTATCAACTGCAATGATTTTACCCATCAGTGTATGGGCTGGTTTTTGCTGAAACATGCAAACACTATTATTATATATGTATATTATATATATACACATCAGTGTCTACATGTGTCTACCATCACCGGAGGTTCCCGCCAATTTGCCTTAATCCAGTTTAGGAAAATCGATGGTTCGATACATTTCGATGCTTAAATCTCATTATCTTCCCAGCAAATCACATTAAGTTGATGGATTTGATGGATTATTAACATTTATTAGTGGACAAATTCCAACTAAAGTCCCATTAAAATACCATGAGCTAAATCCCGCTTAACTCCCAAATGGTTAAATCCCTGTAAATTCCCATACCCATATGCTCCATGGTGCTGGAATATTTACCAACATGTGCCCTTGTCCAAAATCACCCAGTCATGTAGGTAAATATACCAGCACCATGGTTGCATATGGGACATAAATCCCCAGTCGGTTACCCTGTGGTAATTTGTTACATAGCTATTGAACATGGCCATAGAAATCGTTGATTTGCTCATGAAAAATCATGATTTTCCATATTTGTTTCTATGTTTACCAGGCCGGGTAACATTAAATCCCATTAAACCACCATAAAATCCCATGTTTCACAAAACATGAGTGTAATCACCACAGAATCCCATGAAAAATCACCAGAAAATTCCCATGAAATCCCCAGAAAATTGGATGGTGATGTTCCACTTAAAATCACCAGCTCGGTGGACTCCCCAGGTCCGCCAGGTCCACCAGGTCACCATCGACTCCCAGAGTCACTGGACAGCCACACGCTGGCGGTTTCGAGGCTTCGCCGAGTGGCCACCCAGAGCCGGGTGAAGTCGCCTGGGGGATCACCAGGGCCGAAGAAAACGTACGTGGTAAATGGGAGGAACAATGGTGAAACATGGTATAGTTTAGTAAATTTAATATCGAATTTGCAACTTGCACTGGTTATATGTTACTTTCATGGATGATTTACCTGCGTTTTCGCAATGAAAAATCAGAGTCTTGCATACTTTTATCGCCATATTATCACCATGTTCTTCCGCGAAAAATGGAATTAAACATGAATAATGTGGGTAAAACAATAATAAACAATCCCCCAGTCATCACCATTTTTATAGGTGGTATAAACTTCATATTTCCAGTCATGGGTGGATGGCACTGTTTTACCCAATAGGATAGACATTTCGATGGGGGTTATCACCACTCTTAGGTCCATTAATAACACAAATCTCCAAATGATAATTTCCATTCACATCTATTGAAGGCATCGGATCTTTCATGGGATAATGCAGATAATGGTTTATCTAGCATGGTTTAGTATTGTTTTACCCACATGAAAAACATCATTACACACCTTTTTCGTAATCCCCTCCCAGTCCTTCCGCCTGTGGCGGTGATGTCCCAAAAACTGCCATCTGCCGCGGGCTGCGTCCAGCTTTCGCCGCTGTCCAAGGAGACCCAAATGGCGCCACAACCGCAGCAGGTGCAGTGATAGTTCTCGCGGGTGAAGCCTCACGGTCATGTCATACTAAAAATTCAGGTAGGTTATGAAACAAACTGGAAGATCTTTTGGAGGACAATTTCAATATTGCCGCATATTACCGGAAAGGAGATAAACTATGAGAATTCATACAAACAATTCAGGTAGGTAGGTTATAAAACGAACCAAACTAATAGTTATGGCCCGAAATACCAGTTATTATAAGTTATAAGTTATAAGTACTTGGTCACCCCCTTCATTGAATGCAAAATCCTATTGATAACCAGAAATAAGTAATAAATGGCTATAACTGTGGAAGGTCGTTTGGAGGAAATTACATATTGCCGGAAAATGGATAAACTATGATAAACTGCATTGTAGTGTTTAAAACACATTCCCCAGTAGGGATGGATACCGATGGGTGATATATCACTTTGTGTGGGCCTACTTTGGATATCTTTGAATGCAACATGATTGATCCATTGCGAATATAATTAAAACATGATGTGGGTTTGTTGCGGGAAACCTAATGGTAGTTTGAGCATTAAATAATGTATGTCAACCATCAAACAAATGCATTTGAGATGATTTAGCCATCAAAGAAGTGGGATTTACATAATACAATTAATTTAATTAACTGATTTAATCTAACCATCCAAAGTTGGATGTAAACCAATATCTTCCGATATTGTCCCCGAAACAGGATGCCTGGCACTTGATAAGCACCAGGCTTCACCCCCTACTCCCTGCCTGCTACCTTACTTCCATCAGCTGATGTGGTAAGGCCCCACCACCTCAAGTCACTTCAGCACAATTCGGATTTCGGACTATATATACCAGCAAACAGTACAGGATGGGGCCCCCGTTCGAAATCGCGTTCAGTTGCCTAAGAAAAGTGGCTGAATTCTATGATTTATGGCAGATATAACGATAGATAAATATGGTTAATGGGGTTCATAAGCCAACAATAACCATCACTGGGCACCATCCTGTAGGATTCAACTGAACCAATAACATCCAATGGGGATGTGATGGGATCTTGACTATGATATATATATATATTCTAATCAACTTGATGTGATTCGGGTATTTCCAAGAATTGACATGAATTGACATCCGAGCGGGTGCTTCAAAAGACCTGGATGATCTTTGCATTCGATCCATGAAGTCTCCCAACATCAGCAAACGCTGATGGATGGGAGCGACAAACCAAAGAAAGGAACCAATGAGACTATCTGGGTGTGTGTATGTGTCAGGCATGATCATGATTGCACCAAAGCTTACGCTTTACGCATTGTATTTTGCAAAAGTGGCGGTTTTGCGCCACCTTACGAAAGCCAGGGTTTTGCTTACGCGATCCAGTCATATAACACAACTCTTCTTAAAGTGTATTCGGGAAAAGTTCTGACGACGCTCGAGTTGCAACTGGACACACACCTGTTTTGGCCCTCTAGAGATTGTCATTTTCCAACGACCCAACGACCCAACGACCCAACGACAAGGTGCGAAAGTCCAGAGGTTCCACTGAGTTCTATCCAGGTGCCACCAGAATCACTGGACTTCCAAATGCTACCAGCGGTACCTGGGTGTTAAATGGATGCAGGATGGACAGATTCTTCTGCAACGATCTTTTCGGAAATCTCTGTCGATTTATGCACGATCAAATTACATGATGACATTACAAGTGGTCAGTACTCGATGTACACGCTCAGAATTATTGTATGCATGTTTCGCAAGTGGAAAATGTAAGAACCTCAAACAAAAAAATGAATTTGACTGGAATGATCCCAGGCTAAGTTGATATAATGTGTTACCCCCGTATCAGTGTCAGAGTTTCAAACATTTTTCCATGAAATATAATCACCCAAAACTATATCCAACATGTTTTCTTGTTACAAATTCCCAGGTACAGTTTTCGTGCAGTATTATCTCAGAATTTAAGTTGGTTCGCTGGGAAAATGTTCCAAGGGATTTCACGCGTCAATCATGCAATAAATAACAATAAATTATATGCCAATGTTTTTTATTTCAACACGCTCATCAAAGTAAATCATTATAAAACAAAAAAACACATGTTATATTAAACAAAACAATAAACAACAAAAAATAAAAAGAGTACTACATTTAAATCAACATGATTCCATTCCAATAAATCCCCCCCCAAAAAAACAATCCATCATTTCTCCAAAAAAACACATATTTTTTCCCTCCCAATGTTTCAGACGGGCACCCACAAAGAGCATCTGTCCATCCTTCGCGGCCGCTGCTGCGCGGAAGGTCGACGTCTCCGCCGACAGCTCCAGCCAGGTGGAACCGTAGTCCTCCGAGCGGTGGATGTGATCCTTGGAACCACTGACCTCAGATGTCGTCCCGTTGTGATGTTGGTGTTTTTTAATGGAGAAAACTAGGATGTTAAACTGTCGATTTTCATAGATTTAAGGAATTACTTGTTGATGATCTAGTGAGATTGAAGAAATTTATGAAGTATGATTCATGACATTGTTTTTTTGAATGAATTATGCAGTCACTTTTTTATTTTCATGGATCTAATGGTTCTATATATGAACACAAAAGAACACGAGAACTGTTTGTTTGTTTATTTTTTTGAGTGTTTTGTTGAGTTAACTGGGCAAGTTGTTGATCTAGTGTCTGTTTGATGAATGATTTGTAAATAAATTACTTTGATGATATGTTCAATTGTAGTCACTGACATGAACTATGTTTTACACAGTTATGGCCCGAAATACCAGTTATAAGTACTTGTAACCCCACTTACGGAATGTATTTCATCATCTTATTTATAACCAGTTATAAGTAATAAATGGTTATGAATTACAGTAAATAAAACTAATATGTTTAACAAACAAGGTATGTGGGATGCCGAACTATGGGGGGGATCAACCGAAACAACACCTGTATAAACTGAACAAAAAAAACATGGTTATAAATCGCCACAACTTGGGAAATGGGGCCCCTTTTTTGCCTATAACTGTTGTGAAGCCTATCCACTTAGTTCAATGGAACTGCGCCCGAAAGTAATTAGCAAAGATGCTTTACAACTAGATTAGTTCAATTTTTTTTGGGTTGACCTCTATAATGTTTTTTATAATTATATAAATATACTCTATAGATAATCTTAGATAAACTTGCGAATAAAAAAACTAACTGCTGATCTATATCCGAAGGAAATTTGAAAGTCAAACTTCCGACTTATCGACAGATGCAACAACAGTGGTGAAAAAATCCATACAGAGAAAGAGTCAGGCAAGAGAGAGCAAGAAAAGAGAAGATCAAAGTGTGCGAAAAGGTGGAAAAATCGCAAGACACTGTGTTTTTCCTATATATTAATATTAATGTTTTCCTGCTCCGGCGGGTCGAAAAGTACGCTCGCTAAAGCGGCGATCCCGGAGCCATCTGGTGGGATGAGAGATCAACAACTGCACGCCGCATAGATTTATAAATAAATAGAAAACGATGAAACAAAATAGAATTAAAGAAACAACATGGATAGACAGACAGACATACATACATACAGATAGATACATAGATAGATAGACAGACAGACAGACAGATAATAGGTAAATAGATAGATAAATAGATAGATAGATGGATAGATAGATAGATAGATAGGTAGATAGATAGATAGATAGGTAGATAGGTAGATAGGTAGATAGATAGATCGATAGATTGATAGAAAGATAGATAGATAGATAGATGGATAGATAGATTAGGTTAGGTTCGGTTAGGTTAGATTCGATCAGATTAGGTTCGATTTGATTAGATTAGATAGATCGATAGATAGGTAGATAGTTAGATAGATAGACAAATAAACAAATAGACAGACAAACAGACAAATCAATAGAATAACAAAGGGAGATAGACATAGATAGAGAGAGAGAGATAGATACAGACAAAGAGAGAGGGAGAGAGAGAGACTCAGCGCCTCAATCACCTTTCCGTCCACCAGTGGGTTCACTCTGCCATCCATGCATCACAACAACACACCACTCCAGTTAACTATCTTTGAAACTGCCGCCGCCTTGTGCGGTACTACTGGTATTTTTTCTAACTTATCTATATTGCAGGACTAGTATAACAATGCTTTACCCACTTATAATATATTATAATTATAAAATATTATAAATACCTTGCGTTAACCCAATACTTTGATAGCCTTATAATGAGTTATAACTGAAGTATAATGGGTTCTCATCGGTTCTTGATACTCAGATAATGGCGAAAAAAAAACGCACTTCCACAAGAACTTCACAGATCCACGACCCAAGCTGCCACCACCATCTGACGCCCATCGCTGGAGACGGCCACAGCTCCATGGCGGCAGGGCCACATGCAGAGTTCGATCTGGCCACGATGCATCCAGGTGCGCCCGTAGTCCTGCGAGACCTAAGGGCTGTGGGAATACGAACCCGCTTGAAGCCCTAAAGGCCCTAGAAGTATCAGATTTCACGACTTTCAATCATGGGATTCAGAAGAAAAACATGAGATTTCACTGATTTCAGCAAGAAAAGTGAGGGATAAGGATGGACCCATGACATTCTGGTTTGTTGACTATGAATACTGTAAGGAGGCTCAGTGAAAGCATACTTCAGCCACAGAAAAGTTCCAAGCGAATCCAAACCTGTGAATCGCGACTCTGAAAGCGCGAAACTCATGCCTAAGTCGCGCCTGCGTGCTGAAAATCTGCTTTCCCCCATCTAAAGCCCTGGATGTTAAGCACACTGAAGCACCAAGAACGGGATAAAACAAAATGGTTTACATTCAAGAAAGAGGGGGTGTCACCAACAAAAACTGTGACACAGAGTAAATATATGTAATCATGGGGATATAATCGATATAATCAACAAACAAAATCCCAAAATTTGACCAACCTATGCTTTTAATTTTCTGACGCGGCGAACAATGGGATGTGAAAAGCAAGAAAGATGGGCGTTTCACGGAAAAGACCGGCGATTGGACCGGTAAGAATCAGAAAAGGGGGCACCGACCAAGAGACATGGCAGACATGGTGACTGAAGCGACAATAATGGTGACTAATAGTGACTAATCCGTTCCGCCTTATATTAAACACCCCTGGAAACCATAGGTTAGTCAGGGATTTACAGACATATTTGGGATCATAGAAAGATGGTGTTTAACATCCCCATTTTTGATGCTGAAATTCCAATTACTGATGGTCAAAGTTAAGTTGTTGATGTTGAATTCCAAATTTTGATGGTCAAATATGCCTTATAAGAATGTGGTAGAAACCACTGAAACTCCTTGTGAAAGCCGCACAATTTGGGGTTGAACCATCAAAGACGATGCTGAAACAAGAGATGTTAGGCAACAAAAGCAGCGAGATTGACCAAACAGGAAAAAAACAACTTTGGGAAAGTCAAAATAGAGGGGACTAACGAACAACAAGGAGCAAACATGATGATTTAATATGATTTAATATGATCTAGTATCTATACATATATATATATATGATTTAATATATGATCTAACATATCTTAAACAATTATATATAGGTGATACATGAACAAAAAAAACATGTTTCTTTTGTAACCGAGGTGACTCTGGCCACTCAGTCGTGGACTCTCAATATATCTCTGCTGTATAGATGTAGCATCGAATTTGCATATTTCCCCTGTATGCAACAGCAAAATGGTTCAGGGCCAACTGCTACAAGTACTTCAGCCCAATTCTGGTACTTGTAGTTATATGGTAGTAATCAAAAATTTTGTAAGACATGGCCCAGTTAAAAAAAATACTCTGAAATACAGGTGCTTTTTGATATGCTAGTCCTCCTTCAAAGCCCACCATTTAGGTCTCACCCCATCAGATATCAAGTGAGGCGATGGAAGCCCAGCGTTCCGATGAAGGGTGGCATCCGTAGGGAGATGATTTGGACACTGGAACTGGAACTAGATCACGTTAACAAACACTACTGGTTGGTCGTATACCTACCCCTCTGAAAAATATGAAAGTCAGTTGGGATGATTATTCCCATATGCTCCATGGTGCTGGTATATAAAAACCTATATACAAAACTGAGTGTCTTTTGGGGCAAATGTTGGGATTCATATTCCAGCACCATGGTTCGCATATGGGAGATAGAAGATGGTATACGTTAACAATTACACTTTCGTTAGAAGATATATATCATTCGCACCAAACGTTATCTATCAAATATCCTGTATTCAAACATGGCTTGCTGGACACAAAAATGCAGCTTAGGCCACGATGATTTCCCGGCCATGTTTTGATGACACCAAGGCACCGGGATTTCTTCGATTCTTTCGTTATGTGATTGAGCTGATTCTGACACAACAGAACAATATCGGGGATAGTTTGTGGAAAACACTGTGTATATATATAATATTATATAATGTATGCATGTATGGAATTATATAGATAGATAAAACGATAGATAGATAGATGGATAGATAGATAGATAGACAGATAGACATAATTTCTGGCAAACTTTGGGTTTCTGTCTGCAGATTTATGACATTTATATCCAAAATCATGGAACATCAAAGCCTGAAGCATCACCAGATCTTGTCCTACGGCACCACGAATCCTGGTATTCCCCAGCAAGACATTCCGAGACGTGGCTAGGAGTCGAAATCTTGAATAGCTAGTATAACTGAATGATCTGTCGATTCCCCCAGTCATATGGTAAACAACATGCAAATAACTTGCCCGGTTTTCACCCACATTCCAAGACACATAGATACCATTTCTCATGGAAATGGCAACAACAAATTGCCCATCTGCGGAGCTTCCAAATTGGTTCCACTGCTCATCCAGCGCAGCGACGCGGACTAAGATGACTAAGACCTGAGTCGACGTAGTGGTCTTAAAGCCTTCAGGCCTTAAGCACCATCATGTATATATATACATTATATATATATATTATATATATGATACATGATATATGCATATATGCTGCATTATATATATTTAAATTATATAATATTGAACTGACATATAATGACATATAACATCATATAAATTATGAATATAAAATATACCATGTGTGAAAAATCTTGCTGGGGGATCTAAACCATCAAATCCCATGCGTCTACGGATGTCTACGGATGTCTACGGATGTCTACGGATGTCTACGGATGTCTACGCCGGCGAGGTGGCTAGGAGTCAATCGGAAATTGGAGGTATGACAAGAAAGCGGGTTTATTTCATGGAAAATCCATGGAACATCCATGGAACATCCATCTATTTTCATGGATGATCACTGGGTTTACAGTACTGGGTTTACAGTACCTGGAAAATCCAAGTGGGTGATCGATATGGCCCTTCCAATATGGCCCTGCACTATCACCAGGTTGCAAAGCACAGGAATCCATCCATCGCAGCATTGCCGGCTTTGCTTCGCAACTGATGCGAACCATGCTATGCTGTTTGGAAAAAGCCTGGTCATTTCATGTCAAACCACTAAGCCAACCAGTCCAAAGATACATAAAACGCTACGAATATGAGGTGAAACGACCTGCCGCCCTGCCACAGTCCTACTGCCAATCCTCCATTCATTGACGACAATGTCAAGATATTTTTGGGACACCACCAACAAAGCAGCTATCATCAGTTCTCCACTTATCAGTTTACGATGTCTTTTACACAGCTTTGGTTATTGGATAGACATGGTAAACAAAATCCATTTTTTCAGATATGGCAATGGTTTTGTTGCCAAGTCCTTCTCCCTGAGGCCGGGCGGCCGGGCGGCCGGGCGATGACATGCGGCTCCATCTACAATGTGAAACGACTATTCTCATGCTCAATCTTTGGTAGTCCACATTTGCAAAATCCTTTGGTGGAGCTTCGTACCTGAATTTTGGGATTCGAATTCTGTTAACGAGGACTTATCAAAACCACATTAAAAGGATCATCCTAAAGGTTCAAATATATGTTATATGTTCATGTAACTCATATATTTTCATAATATGTTCGTATTTGTTGCGAACAGTTGTCGAAGTTAAGATGTGGAGGCTTGGAGGTTCTAGTTGTATAGATATACAGCAGTATTGGGCATCAGGCAAGTGCTTGAATCTGTTGCATTGGATGGCGTGGTCCTTTTTCAAAACATATCAAAGAACCTCGGTCCCGGTCTGAAGGACTGATACTGCCCCGTATATTTTGGCTATAGTCTACTATATGCCCAAAGTTAGGCTAGTCAAATGTCCATAATCGTTCATCAATGGGCCCAATTCTTGGTTGCTTATTCGCACCATTTTGGGCAAATCTGAAAATAAGTACCGACAAAATAACACCAACATCATAAACATCCTGTGGGCCCAGGTGGTTGCTTTATATGGTATTAACGCAGTCAACACACCGAAATTAAAGATATAATCATAATCAATAATATCAGACTGAACATATTTATCTTCCAAACAAACACACCATCTTGTCAAAAAAACAAGCCTATGGCTGAGTTTACACAACAAGCATCATAAATTCAACAACCTGACATGGGTGTATCCCAAAATAGTGGAATCCCAATAGCTGGATGGTTTAGAAGGGAAAATCCTCTTAAAATGAATGATTTGGGGTAGCCCTATGACTTGTCGGAAACCTCCATTTAAGTGACACCTTCAAAAGTCGAATCCTTTCCCCTGCCATCTCCCGCTGAGATTCCAAGCCCCTGAGATCAAGTCGTGCGGCTCATGAGGAGGGTTTTGGCCTTGGATCTTCAGAAATCATACGGGGATTTTCATAGCTTTTCCACCTATTTTCCTAGCATTTCTGGGGATTTTCATGGGATTTTCATGGGGGTATGGTGGGAAATTCGTGCAGCCTCGGAAAAAAAAATGCGCATCGTTGCGCCACTTTTCGAACGTCGGATCATCCTCCAGGGTAGCCCTAGTTATCATCCAGCTATGGTGCCCTGCTTTAAACGTTGCCTTTAAACATGGGGGAAGTTCTGTGCAATTTTTCGCAGCAAAAGATGGGGTGTGTAAAAGGAAAAACAATCAACTGCAATAACTATGGATTATGATACCTATAACATCCTATAACGGTAGTTAATGGCAATGGTGTTTATAAACCAAGAAACATAACTGGGGTGGGCCACATTGCGTGGTTCTTGCGTCATTTTTATAATATGTTGAATCGACAAAGGTCGGTATACAGTCTGCTAGGACCGAGAAAAGCACCTCTGACCACGATCTGGCTACCAGATGTTACAAGGATGTCTCAGTGCCTCAAAGGTGGCACTGTGTTGTTTGATGTGACCTTTGGGGGGCGTAGCATCAGTTTGCTGCTACATTATAGTTCACAGTTCACATTGATAACCTCTTAACCTCCCTTTTGCTAAGGGATTTATTCAATCTAGTATTCAATGAGTCTCAGCCTGCGTGCTTATTAGCAGTTTACCTCCGCCTGAAGCCACCACTTTTCGCCGCGTTTGGCCGCGCATCTTGACTACAAACCACCGCATCGAAACAAGCGGTTGATCGATCCGCACTGCTGCGCGGCGTCAACTCACCAACGTGCGGATCGGCTGCAGATGTTAAATCAGGGCAGCTACGAAGATCTGGGGAAACAGAACGTGGAAAGCATAGCAGCTGAGATACCTAGAATCAGGGCCCACTTGAGATCGGTATAGCCTTCCAATCCACTTGTGGATGCCTGTGAGTCTACATTTTTGTCTACCCAGTGGACTACAGTGACTACAGGTCCCTGATTAAATGGCAGCCCCCAAGTGCGACATAGCGCGACTCACGCTTTGAACATGCTAAGCCTCCAGTAGATGGTAGAATCTGCTAGAACCTGTGGTGTTTAGCCATTCATGAACCATGCCCAAAATATCCCAAAATCATCATTAAAATCAGTGGTATAAACATGGACCATCCCCAGTGATCTAGAAACGCTTTATTGTTGGGCTATCCGAAAAAAACATCGTTTTTTTTCTTTCCTCATCCTCAGCTCCCACAAGTTGCAGAGATCCAGAATGATCCACGGTCCTGGATGCATCTCTCATGGGGAATCCCATGAGTTGATCCTTTGCAAAAAACCATGGTTTTTGAGCTCGGCGAAAAATGCTGATTTTTGTGGTATGAAAAATTGGAAATGATAGGAATATGATGGGATTGAAACATATTGAAACCATCCACTGAAAAAGGACACAGAGCAGAGAGCATCTGGCTCTTCTGGCTATGCAAGCCTTGGTAAAAAAAAACAATCTTTGCGAATGGTTCATCAAACATATTAGATATCTTGCAAAAGATGGTTTTTTCGCCGATTCGACACAGAATTCCTCCACGGATTTTGACCCTCCGTGGAATTTCCTTGAAAACCGCAATCGTAGTTCACAAACTGAAGAGTTGCTGCGGCCATGGCTAGTTGTGTTTCAGTGTGTCTTCAAAAAGCCACCAAGGGATTCTTGCGAAATATATTCCGGTCATTATTCTTCACTCTAACTGAAGAATGTGCCCGTCTTTCTTTAGATCACCATCCAAACTGAGAGAGAAATGAAGTATGTTTAAAAACTGCCTTTGCAGTCTTGACTTGGGAGTCGGGTTCCAAACTAGGAATTGCATGTGGTTTTCAGAAATACCAGATGTCAAACCCAAACCTCCATTTTTCGGTTTGAGGAGTCGCACATGTCCGACGATGAAAAAGGGCATGGTGTAACCAGTAGTTGGTTTCATCCAGGGCAAACGGATTCCGCTATCAAACTTAGAACTCTTCCAAATGGATTCCGCTATGTACATAGGCATGTATATATATTAGATATTATATGCTATTAACATATGTATACACACACATCATGAGACATTCTAGTGCTCCAATCAACCCAAAACCTCTGATCAAAATGGCACTTTTTTGTAGACAGTTCCCTCTTCCCCTTAATTCCTCGAGAAATTGCTGCTATGAAAAACTCAACAAAACTTAACCAAACCCTGAACATCCACATTCACAATCCATCTTACCCGCTGGTAAACATACAAAAAACTATTGAACATGACCATTTTTAGTTGATTGTCCCATTAAAAATAGTGATTTCCCATAGTTATGTTAGTTTACCAGAGGGTGCCATCTTGGGGTAATGTGCTAAACAAATGTGACTTTGGCCAACCCACTGGTTCGTCAAATGCGGATCATCTCCACACAATTTCCATAGCAGTGGTTTAGAAGCCAGCAAACATCCCAAACAAAATGGGTTGAATATCCCACAATGCTGAGAGCTGCAAACAAGTTACAATCAGTTGGATTCGGCTAAGGACTGTGTAACAAAAGAGTCAATCATCAAATTTTCGGAAGTAACCTATTCTCAGACAAACCCAATTGAGAAATGACCCTCTTTCTGACTCTTTCTGATTTTCACAATGGGGATGGTCTTTCGGTATGCTCCATAGTTAGGGTTTGTATAGGGGATATAAGTATAGTACGTTGCATCTAGTTACTATGGTTTATAAACCAACCTCAGAACTAGGGGGGCACCACCTTGTATCAAGGGTATAATCCCCACCAACTGACATTTATTCTGACATCTTATGTATGAATATATACTGTATATATATATATATATGAATATGTATCATCGTTAGTTCTAGACTCTAATGAACCGGGGACGATATTTGGTACATAACGCAATTGATGGGCTGTTCCTACCTTGCTCTCCAGTCATGTAGTTTTCTTGGGGGTCTGACCTAGCTAAATGCTTTACATGCGATGCCTACCTCGTTCTCGCGGTGTTCCTAATCTCTTCTCCCTATTACTAGTGGGGAAATATGGGCTAACATGGGCTAACCTCTCATCCTACCCCCCTTCATCAGTCGATTTACCCGGTTCTAACAGACACCTTTGGATCCTTTGGCATGTGAAACTGGCATCTATAATCCCCAGTCGTCCCCAGTCGCTCTGCTTCAACGAGGAGCTCGCTGGTTTCCAGCCCCCAGCTGCTGCTTGGGTTGGTGGCCTCCTGTTGATCCTTTCTAAGATTTGAGCTCCGGTGCATTTGAAATGCCCCAGAAAACTTTTCAGACTAGACAATCATCACTCAAACTTGGGTAAGAGAGCATGAAAATGGTGTGTGTCAAGACGTACTCAACCAAACATCAAATTGTCCACAACTTGATGGGTGTGGTATCACTTTTTGCTCTCTCTTGTGCATCTGCATGTGTCATCACACCCTCAGATTTGTTCAGTATTGATCAAAATCCCAGTGAATAGCCGCTATTACACACCCGATAAAGGAAAAATAACAATGAACTATCATTCTTGGCTGCTCTCTATGCCCTATGCTTCATTTATAGCACAAATATCCAAACAATTGGCGCAAAGAACCAATGAAGCCACAAACCAATGGTCCACCAAGGTTTACACTTAGGTACCATCGGTTTCAATCCAGCCAGCACTGCGTGAAAAATATACTCTGCGCTCAGCCTTCCAGATTTATTTTCTGGAAGATCTTCAGCACAAATGTCTGGAGGGACAGCAAGATCACCAAGCCATGAGAATCGGACCACGTCATACAATACAAACAATAAGAAGGGCTTGGTGCAAGTGATCTGGAAGAATGTTAAGAATGCAGGACAAAATATGGATGTTAAGTCCTCTGTTCATGAACCAACACCATGGATGTCTGGTTGGTGGTTTCAACCTACCCCTCTGAAAAATATGAGTTCGTCAACGGGAAGGATGACATCCCTTCTGAAATGGAAAATAAAAGCCATGTAGCCATGTTTGAAACCACCAACCAGAATCACCATTAATCATCATTAACCATTATTAACCCATTACAATCCCCATCTCCATTAAATCCCCATTAACTTATTCCAACGCGCAGAGGTATCCCAACCGTTTTGACCTTGGGAAGTCCTGGTGAATCGTGTGGCCACGTGCAGCTGGGCGATCTGTGCCTGGACCCTAAGGACTCCACCACGGAATGGGGGTCAAATGGCACCAGAAAGTTGTCTGTTGAACCGTTGAACACTGAAAATGAGCAACATCTGACTCTTTACACTGAAGATTAGACACATCCCTGATTTCTGTTTTCGGTTTCAAGTCTTGAGCCTGTCAGACCCTTCTTAGTGGAGCTTGGGCTTCAGCACGATTCAATTTCACATCGGCACGGCACAGGTCTTAGCAAGTGAAAGGTCCAACGCCCAGAAACGAACGGACAAGTTTCCCAGAAACGCGGGCGGAGAAGTTGTTGAAGACTTTGAACTTTGAACGACAATATGTATCTTTATCATGTGTATATACTTGTATATAAATATGCATAGGAACACATACTGCATCGAGATCATGATCTTTGATGCTGACCAAGCCAAAGAAAAACATATTGGCTTGGCTTCTCCCTCTTGAGCACTCATCTTGGGATGTGCAGCGGCCTAGTGACTAGTGGAACACACTGCCAAGCATGGCAACCATGGATTGTTTCGATCTGCGGCTGTTACTCCCATACAAAAGCCTAGGTAATCTTATGGGAACAGGGCTAATTACCATCATTGGTGTCCCTATCAATCCCAGGGATTCATGTGTCAATCAACTTTCCTGGGTGTGTGGACTAGCCGTGAAAGATGCACCGCGCAATTGGCTAGCAATGGCGTTCTCTGTAGCAGAGCGTCTCTGACTCAGACCAGTGTCCTCAACACCAGTCGAACCGTCGAACCGGGTGATCATAGAAGTCACTTCACTACTTAAAAGTGGTGCCTCACAAATACTAGTTCTTTGATTACTTTCTATAACTGGGTTTACTAGGGTTTAAGAGCCTTTGTGATGGGTGTAATCTGGATCATTCTACACCTATGCTGCCTGTATAATATTGTAATTCATTTTGTATACGGGCCATCGCTTTGTAAGTAGTGACTGCAGAACTTCCCAATAAGTATGAATCAATACCTAAAGGACGAACATGGGCAATTACCCATATTTACCACATACTATCTGGTACTAACCACGCTTACACATGCTTACAGCCCGTTTGAATATATACATAACCATAGAAGTAATGATCGGAAATACACATGTGTCTTGGTGTTATGTTGATCTGCTGCTGACAGTCCAATGTTCAGTTGGATAAATTTGCAATCCCATCAAATCCAAAAAGGCTGAAAACAAAGTCTCTAGCTACAATCCACCCTATCGAAACCGAAATACCGATCCTTTCATCAACATGGGTTTTTGCTGATGGTTTTTCTCTGGAAATATGGTACCCCAAAACTGTCAATGGATCAGTCTCATTTTCCCTAAGCTAAACTGAGGCCAGTTTAGCTGGCCATTTTCGGACTGATTTCGAGCGCCCAAATCACATGGTTTCTATATGTCTATATCCCAATAGAATTGATAGACTATTCCATGATTATGTTAAATCATATTCCCACAAAGTACCAGTACATGACATGGTGATATTATAAGTGATATTCATGACAAGTTTCCAATTTTAATACACAGAGCTGCGCCCCCGCCCTTTGCACCCCCTTCCCATTTGATTTTGCAACCAACTATATCTTTATATAATACATGATAATCACCAAGTTATACTTGTACTGTGGCCCGGTTAAAGCTCTTCGTAGCTCGCTCCGAACCCCTAGCATCCGCTAGCCATTTCATGTTGGGAATATGTCTACCCATGCTCCGAACCGCTCCTGCTAACTACTGAACAGTATACAGTATATATATATATATATATAAAAAAGCTACTTTATATGTATGTCCATCAACAACATGGACATTGGCTATATACCCATGATAAGCCCATGATATCGCATCCATTGGTTTCCCCCGTCTATCTTACCTTTTTTGTATGTTTACCATAGGGCAAATCCCCATGATATCCCCATTCGAGATGGTGAAATCATGCTTACCCTCTGTAAACTAACATAGCAATGGAAGATCAAGATCCACCATTAACAAATGATTTATTTATCCAATAAAAAAATGTTTTTCCATAGCTATTAGCAGTTCATCAGAGGGTACATCCAACCAAAAATCATCAAAGATCCATCAAAAACCATGACCAATCCTGGATACCCTGCAAGACTAGGAGTAGTTCTACCCAGTCGATTGACATACCCTCTGGTAAACATACGAATAGCTATTGAACATGGCCATAGAAATCGTGGATTTACCCATTATCATTAAACATGGTGATTTTTCCATAGTTTTTTGTTAACGTTTGCCAGGGGGTAGAAACCATAAGCCCCCAGCATCCTTCACACGTTCATTGATCTCCGAGGCCAGGTGTTGGGCATCAACTGCGATCCATCGCAGACTCTTGGCGCGCCGCGTAGCATGCGAGCTCCGTGAGCATCGGGAGGCCTTCATGGAAGCAATTCAGAAAGGGATTCAGTTGGATTGAAGCAACCAAAATAAGAAAAGGAACTATGTAAAAACAAAAACAACAACAACAACAGTGTTTTTATGTGACACATAATTGTGGATGTCATTGCTCCTAGGTTCTAGCCATTCGCCAAATCATTTGCAATAAACTGGCACCCCGAATCCCGACCATACAAATTTGCCAAGCCACAGTAAGGACAGGAAGGGACTCATGGCACAACATGTCCTGTCGGCTGTTTTTGTTTCGCGTTTTTGTTTCGAAGCCATTAAAAAGAAAAACCTGCGACCTTTCCTGGCAACTAGTGTGGTTTTTCCATGGTTTTATGCCAAAACTTGGATACACTTAAAAGTGAACTAAACCGTTTTCGAGCTCCATCAGAGCTCGCTTCGACCCGTGGCCCGTGGCAGTCCCAAACCTTAGAAACCTGGCCTGCCATTCGGAAAGCATCCAATTTCTGCCCTGAAGAATTCAAGAAAGCCTCAAGCCTTGAGGATTTCACCATCACCATCAAACAGCCATCGCTGCCGATCCCTGAAGGATGATCCTGGATCATAAGATCAGTAACTGTGACAGATAACTGGAGCTTTCATAGAGTTGAAGGCCCATCAATATCAGCAGCTTTCAAAACAGCGAAAGCTACCCCAAATCATCCAAGTCATGGACCATGACACCATGACATACCCAGGCCATAGAAATCCATAGAGTGTAAACTGCAAATGCGATCTCTTCCGGCCTTCTAGAAATCTAGGCATGTGAAAAGTTGGGTCCATATGGGCCCTGGCCCCAACTTCATCCCACCCTTTTTGGCTCCCATCTTGGGAGCAGATTTATGGTGAGATGGTCATGTCCGAGATTTACTGCACCGAAATGGGCACAAGGAACTAGAAAGACACGATCTTATGTAAAAATAATGCTCCGAAGCACATGTTTTTTCACGTCTGGTGAAATAAAACTTACAAGAATCTTATGATTATGATACCCTCATGACATTCATTTTGTGCTGCGGCCAAGGATAACTTACTATTCTTTCACTCAAAATCAGGTACGGTAATCACCTTTTGTTGATTGAAACCACCCTTACTCGAACCGCGTGATCCGAAACCCAGCTGTGATCTCTGAACAATTTAAAAAAACATTGCGTAGTAGCAACGACTATTGCGACGATGACAACAAACCAATGATCAGTTACGGGTTAATAAAATGTTTCATCTGTGATATCAGTGCTTCCTGTTCGAATCCCCATGATGTTGCAACATCAAGCAACATTGATGTTAGTGAACAACTTATTGTATTTCTGATTTCCCCAAATGTTGGTTGCTGTAATATAAGTTCCCCCCATCTTCTGGACCTCTAGAGCGTAGGGAAACGTGTTTTCTCAACCTTCAGACTTGGGGTGCTTTCCCCGCAATGAAAAAACTGGTGAAAATGATATTCTCAACCATCAAGAATCTGTGTGTGTGTGTCTTCCCTGTTTTCCAACAAAACCACTTGGTGGTATAAAGAATTGGGTACCCCAATTCGTGCCAACCTCGCTGTTGGTGCTGCTGCTCAAGTCAAGCATTGGTTTCTCCGTTGTGACTTCCTGGCCAGGTTCTTGTGTCGACAGGTGGAATCTGCCTCAAAGTAATTCACGTGAAAGGGGCACGTATTACAAATCTGGTTTCAACCCCCCTGAAAAATATTAGTCAGTTGGGATAATTATTCCCAATATATGGAAAAATAAAAAATGATCCAAACCACCAACCAGTACAAATCTGGTCATATCTTCAAAAACCCCAAATGTCATCTCTTTCATCTCTTTATACTGGCTGGTTCAGAACGGATTTTCCTTCCCAGTTGGATTATGACAATCCCCAATGCATTGGATAATAGTATAAAATAGTATAACCTGCTCATCATCATCAAATCACAGGCGTTTCTAACAACCCTGCTCAAATAATCCCAAATATGTTGAACAAATTCACATCAAAAACAACAAAAACACGGGAATGTCATCTAAGTTCAAGATAGGTGCTTGATATCCAGCTATAAGATAGGTACGCTACGCTTGGTACGCTTGGTGCGCTTGGTACGGTACGCTTGGTGCGCTTGGTACGCTTGGTACGCTTTGGGTAGGTACGCTTGGTACGCTTAGTAAGGTACGTTTGGTACGCTTACCAACCGTACCGACCGTACCGACCGTACCAGTGAACCGTACATAACCGTACCACCGTACCGTACCAGATTAAGGGGGGGGTCAAGGGGGGGGCGTTTTGGATGTACCAATACTAAAGTAGTATTGTTACATCCAAAACGCCCCCCCCTTGACCCCTCCCTTAATCTGGTACGGTACGGTGGTACGGTTATGTACGGTTCACTGGTACGGTCGGTACGGTTGGTAAGCGTACCAAACGTACCTTACTAAGCGTACCAACCGTACCAACCGTACCGTACCACATGTACCAACCGTACCGTACCAAGAAAACCAAACCTACCAGCCGTACGTACCAGACATGTTTGGATCTTACTTAAGGCCTCTACCACCTATCTTGAACCTAGCTCATTTGCGGAACCATAAAATGGAGGTATATGACCAAACCTGACTCCGTGCAACCATTGATGACCAGTCCAAGGGCTATGGGTGCCTCACTAGGTCGCCAAAAAGAAACCATGACTCTGGATCAAAATCACAACCGTATGCAGCCGTGGATATCAATGGATTTTCTTATATCAAGATGTCTTTATGTAGCCGTAGAAATGCTACTTCAAACGATGTTTGTCCTCCGAAATGACCCAACGCCGCACCAAGAATCCACTGATTTCTCATCATTTTCCCAGGTGTTTTTTTCTTTGATCCCATATCTTTGCAAAGCAAAAAACTATGGGTCAAAAATCTCAAAACCCTGGCGTCATCCTGTCATTTTTCCATGCAACATTCACCTGTATATCCAAGAGTTTCAATTCCATCCCGAAATAACCGTGGTAGGCTTCATAATTCATAAGGTATATATATAATATATAGATCTATGTATATAATATATATATATATATGTATCAATGTATCCTCATTAAATCCAATGAAGTTCTCATTAAATCCCATGAAGTTGATGGCAAACACATCTTATATCCCATTAAATTTATGCTGAAATCATCTTCCCGGGCAAAATCCGATAAAACTTCACTGTAAAATCCGTGGTAAAATCTCTGTTAACAGGTTTGGTCTATCCCCAAATACTGGAAGTCCACAACGATTTCGCTGGCCAGCCGTCGCCGCCAAGGGGGCGGAAACCTCCTGGCAGCGGTGCCCACGGTGCCCACCACAGATCATAGTGATCCGGTGAGTCAAACCAAGGACACATGCAACTGGTTGAGTCCGTCAGGGATGACATTCCCAATATATATGGAAAACAAACATGTTCTAAACCACCAACCAGTACAGATATCATTTTTGAAAAATATAGATGATTTTGCGCTAAATGATACCCATACAAATCATCTGAACTATGTGATTGTTTGCGATTACACAAATGCACCATGTAAATGATACACCAGTGTTTTTTTTACAGATGTATATTTTCAAATCATCCGACACAAAGATATGTAAGACATATTTGATTTTGGAAACAAACACACTGTATCTGGATCTGGGAGCAGAGATGGGCAATATAACATGTTATACTTTGTTATACTAACATTATAAAACCAAAAAATACGTGGTGGAAAAGTTGGGAAAAGCAAAAACATGTACGGAACACAGAGAATTAAGGACCCATTGCCATCATTGCCAGTGGCGAAATTTCGTCTCAAATCCAGCAGCCCTACTTCAGGCATCATGGGGCTTTCCGAAAATGGGGGTACCCATTTTACCCATGGGCTTTCAATATGTTTCAATACTAAGTATTACTAAGTTATGGTCTAATTTTAGATGATTCGGATTAATTCGGGGTAGCCTTCTATTTTAGGACCCCCCCTCCATTTTTTGGTCGTCCCTAAAAATACTGGTTGGTCAGTATGATTTCCGGATTTACCATGATGAATTGTGGTAATCCTCAACAAAAACTGGATAGTACAGCCTCCTATACTAATCAACCACAAAAAAGGGTTTTCTAAAAACACTGCTAACATAGCATATAATTCCATCATATCCCATCGCCCGTTCACAAAAAAACACCCCAGAAGCCATGCTGGATGCAGGGGATGAAGAAACACCTCTTTGGGACCATACAACGAGGGTGTTTATACAATATCATTCATATTAGAGAGGGGTGTCATTGTCCACACTTGTGGCAACAAGTATTTACATCAAGCGACATAATTAATCCTACGGGATGGGACCCAAGTTCGTTGGCTAAGTTGGTGCAAATAAGTTCAATTTCTAGGCTTTATGGTGGATAGAACTAAAGTTAAAGGGATTCATTCAACTTATAACTGGGGCGCACCATCCTATTCCCGAATGGGTCCCTATGTTTTTTGCTGCCGGCTGTCCTGGATGATTTATATGATGTATAGATGATTTATATGATTTATAGATGATGTATCTATTCAAAATGTGTTTTTTGTTCCATGGCTGTGCAAAATTACCAGCGGCCATGGCTGTTCCACCCATCGCCTGGTCCCAAGCGATATGCGGTCTGGGGACTACCCCAATTGGCTCCTTGGCAACTGGTGGCTGAAAACGATATATCCACAATATGTGAAGTTCCGAACCCAAAGCAACTGCAAATGTTGCAAATGTTGCTTAAAGTATATCAAGAATAATTGAAGAACAATTATTGATTTTCTTTTAACTATAGTAAAACAATATGTTTTTGCAACTGACAATAATTGAAACAAAAAACAATAATTGAAACCGCATACCTTTTGAGAACCGCATACGCCTTTCTTAGGAGGATGCGGTTTGCTTTTTCAGCCCGTGGCAGCCCGATTTCTTTTTGGATCAAGCCCATGGTTGTCTTGACTCGTCTCCCTTAATCATTCCAGGACATGTACTGGAAAAACATAAATGTATATATATATATATACAATACACATATATATATACAATAAAATTGGATATATATATACAGTATATATATAATGATATATATATAATATAAATATACTGTGTATATATATATATACAATATATAGAATATATACATACAATATATATATATATATTATATATATATATATTATATATAATATATATATATATATACAATATATATATATATAATATAATATATAGATACAATATATATATATATCTATACAATATATATATATACAATATATATATAATATATATATACAATATATATATAATATATATATATATATATATCTAGACAATATATATATACAATATATATATACTATATATACAATAGATACAATACATAAATAAATAACTATATATATATTGTATATATATATATTTGTATATACAATATATATAACTACATATGTTCTATAGTCGATAGTATAATGATATTCAACAATGGATTGGTATCTATATACTTTGTGCCGTACATTTGGGGGGTTCCTACGGGGATACCCCCAAATCACCCAAGCCATTCGACCACAACTTGGTATTCAAACCTATGGCCTATGGACATATGGTTTTGGGGATACCCACCAAAGAAAAACATGTATCTGGGTAACTTGTCATAATTCACACACCTGAAATACGGCTATTTTGGGATAGTTCCTCCCCTTACTAATCATCCTTGCAGTGAGGGAGAACAGTGAGGTCCTTCTAATTTGTCCAGTCCAATCAACAGAAGTATAATAACTTAGTATTGAAACCTATGGTAACTTGGGGATCGCCCATTTTCACAACCACCTATTTATAAAGGCAATATATTACACTCCCAAATCATTGGTCATCGTAAATTCCATGGAAAACAACCATTCAGTCACCATTAAATCCCATGAACAAAACGGTAAAAAATCACCGTTATACTGTCCATTTCCTGCAGAAAAAATATGGTACCACCATCATCGACCATCCACTTTAGGAAAGCCCCATATGGGAATGGGTCGAAACCCATTAGTTCACAGGACCCGCGCCTGCTGTACGGTCCGTGCGGCGCGCACGTTGCCGCAACCCATGCCGCGCGAGGTGCGACGTTTCCAAGCAAAACCAGGCTGCTCAGCCAATGGCTGCGAGCGGAACCCGCTTGATCGTGTGTCGCTATTTGGCCTCAACCCATCATTTTTTTCGACAAAAACTGTCTACAAACAGTGGGGTTTCCATATTTATATTAATAATAAACTTTTTTTTTATGATAGTTTACTTCAGGGTATGATTGAAGATAAGCGCTTCAGCAAGCAACAAATTCAAATGGAGATATGGTTTATAAATCCCTTGATGTTCAGTTTATTGACCTTTAAAACAACTGGAACTTTCTGGGCAAAATATCAACGCAATATTTGTAATGATGGTTGAATACACAAACTGGTTGGTGGTTTCAACCCCTTTGAAAAATATTAGTCAGTTGGGATGATTATTCCCAATATATGGAAAAATAAAAAATGTTCCAAACCGCCAACCAGCTATCTTTGGGTTGGTATATCACCTTTCTTTTGCAAACCCCACATGTTTGAAGGTCGACCACCTGGTCGCAGCTTAAAAGCATCATTTTAACAGGTGAACTTGCATGTGGAGTGAGGTAAGCATCATCTACAACATCCTGGGGAAAAAACACATTGGAACCTTTTAGGGACCCTGTAAATCAATGTAAACCCAACAAAAAGATGAAATTCCACTTGTTGACTTGAAAATTTCATCTTCTTAGCTAAAAAAACATATTCGATAGACTTCAAGTCGTGAATCGGCATGTTTGTGTATACGTATTGTTTATGGCATCCCGGATTGCCTGCGGATGCCATAAATCCACAACTGGTTGATGGATCGCAAAAATACAGGTAGAAAAAATGTGAAATCCACGTGCTATGCCAGCTCAAATCCGCATGTTTGAGATGTTTTGTGCTTGTAGAGTTTCAATTTTTTCTCATGCTGAAAACCCGCCATTTGTTAAACTTTGGATAGATTTAGAGAGTTTTTAGACAAAATTCCAAAATTTCAGTTACATCACTCAAATCCCTTTGGTCCTATGATGTTTTTTCACATAAAACAAGCAATGACTCATGGATTGCCCCTGGATTAATTGTTACCCTAATCACGAAGTCATTCGACTTTCAAAGTTTCTGAATGTGAAATCCAAAGAAATGGAGGTTTCCGACAAGTCATGGGGGTACCCCCGGTTATCATCCAAGTCATGGATGACCATGACTTATATCGTATTTTTTAAACAACCATGGTGACGACTGGGGATCCCCCATGACTTAGGAGCCCTCCATATCATCATAAATCCTTGCAAGAACCACCATTAAATTAAATCACCAATAAATCATGGGTCATGATGAAAAATCAGTCACCACGAAATCTCATTAAATCACCATAAAATCCAATTAAATCACCATAAAATCCCATTGAATCACCATTAGATCATCAAATCACCATAAAATCCCATTAAATCACCATTAAATCATCATAGACCCCCATGACTATCCAAGGCGCTCAGGGCATATGACACCTCTGTGATGCGCGTCCAGAGCTGGTCGCCCTGATGCTCGCTGAATTCAGCTATTTCACGAAGGAAAACATGATCAAACCATGGACAAACATTGTTTCTTAATGGATGGAAAATTAACTTAAATTGATTTAAATGGATTGAACCATCGAAAGATATGTTGAACAATCTATTTTCATCACAGTGGCTGTCAAATATGCGATTTCACGGAGGAAACAAGGATCAGGAAAGGGAAATTAACCATCTATGTTAAGATCAACACAAAGACATCCAACATGAGTAACATGAGCATTAAAACTGCAACAAGAATGCATGTGTAGTAACCGCAAATATCTTGGAAGCTAAGAACATGTCGTTTTGAGGTGATCCATCCCTAATATCAACATTGACATTTTTTTAAGGAAATTTCACCATAACAATATTAGGATTTTCAATGATCTTAACAGGTATGATTGGACCTTTGGAAAACATGGAGAAGTTGAGTCCTTTTTCCATCAACAAGAATTTTTAAGCAATTTGACCATTATTGTTTCCATTTTTTGCAGCTCAATTCAACAATTGGACAATTCCATCACCATGGCCATTTATGAGTCATAATTGGTTATAATTAAAAAAGATCGAAACCATTCCAATTTATGGGCGTCGCATGGGATTATAAGATATTATAAGTACCTATAACTGTTTAAAGGCCATAAGTAGTAACTATAAATGGCGCTGAATTGGACAATTTGACTCTTTGTCCATCAACAAAATTCAACCAGCGCCGCTTGGAATTCAGCGCCTTCTCTTTGACCTCGATCTGTGGCAAGGCATCAAGACAATCTCCCACCTGGGAACCAGGCGAACTTGGCGCTGCGGGTGTTGCGGTTCTGAGACGCAACAAAGATCTGAATTTGAGAAGACATAATTAATATATATATATATATATGTATAGTATATATGTATGTAGTATATATAGTATATAACTATAATATATAATATATATACAATAGATGATATTATATATAATATAGTATAATATAATACAATACAATACAAAATATAATATAATAAAATGTAATATAATATTATCATAATACAATACAATATTATAATATATATATATATTTAAAATATGTTTATGTCATACCGGTCATACCGATACATATATGATATTAAATGTTATATAAGTTATATATATATAATATACGTATATTATGATATAATATATCACATATCTATTCGAACCAATATTGAAACGATTGCTTCCAGTCCTCAGCTCCATGTGATCGATGATCGTTTTTAGACAATCAGCACTTGGACGTGGCTCAAAATCACTAACCCCTGAAATCTAGTGCTACAAATTATTGCAATACTGGTTGGTGGTATACCTACCCCTCTGAAAAATATGAAAGTTAGTTGGGATGATTATTCCCAATATATGCAAAAATAAAAAATGTTACAAACCACCACTTTATCCCACTTTATCGGAAGCAAACCAGATTTTGTGGGCGTCAGACCACCCCAAATTTAAGCCAGTGCCATTTCCAGTGTTCCTGAAATTCTCTCCAATTCTGCAACTGTTTCCCGGCAATGCCCAAGATTTCAGATATATCTTACTGAATCTGATATTTTTCTTGACAAATTTAAAGTGTTTTCCATAAACAGCTCATGTGGCTTTATCTGAAAATCGAATAATTATCCCAAAATCCTGTCGAATCCCATGATTGATGATCATTTCCCCCTTTTTTCAGTCATCATCTATCCAATGTATCCTCCATATTCAGGGTTTTTCTCGGAATCTGCCAGACACCCCGACGACCCGACCATTGAAAAGAGCTTTTATAGACTTTATTAGTTATCAAAAGACAAAAAGCAACCTGTAGTTGATGTGAGTTCTATAGTTTACCACCATTTCAGTAGGATTCTATTGTTCTATCCATCCTTTTTTTGGATTGGGTAGTAAATGGCCAGAAGATGCCAAATGCCAAACCCAAACGACGTAGATGACTGTCATCCTTGATATGACCGCAGCATCATGGAACTTGAGCTTTCCCTTTCATATTACACATATATACAAACAGTACATATATCTATGTATATTATATACATATAATATGAACCATGTTTTGATGGTACCATGCATGTTTCCTGGCAAACAGATTCCGAAACCGGCAAGATGTCGCTGTTGGTCCATTCATCTAGCCATGGCTAGCCTGATCCACTCACAGGGCAAGATCCTGAAATGCGCCTCAAGTGGGGTTGCTTAGAATCTACTGTACAAATATATATCTGGTTGGTGGTATACCTACCCCTCTGAAAAAATATGACTTCGTCAGTTGGGATGATGACATTCCCAATAGATGGGAAAATAAAAAATGTTCCGAACCACCAACCAGATATACATGTATATGTGTCTTATCCATCAGCAAAGCAGGTATATTCACTGAATATCCACCAATACAAAGATATGCTGTTCTTCGGCAAGAGATCACAACATGCTATGGCTTACGCATTCCCTTGCTCATAATTGAAATCTTGGATACCTAGCAAAACATATCTAGCTGGGCTTGGTATTTTCCCCTTTATGAGGTTAGCAAGTGGTTTTATACAAAATTGGACTACACCCCAGTCCAGTTGATGATCATCAAGATGTTTCACAGAGTAGCCATAAATTGGGTGAAAACACATTTCAGACAGACCCCAATATCATAGTCTAATGAGTCATATTCTTTGTTAATACACCTATATCCCCATTATTTCCATTATCCCATTTACATATGAATTTCTCTGCAAATGGGGTATACCCAGTGGTATACACTCTAAATGACAAAATTTCATGGGGATAATTTGACCACAATCCATTGGAATTGGGAGACCATGACAGACCCAAAGATCATAGTCAGATGAGTCAGCCAACTGTTTGTTAAGTTGCCGCTAAGTTGCAGATATCCAACCTAACATGGTTGTTTCCATAGTCATGGGGGTACAAAAAAATAACTGGATGGCTTATAATAGAAAATCCCATCTATAAATGGACGATTTGGGGGTACCCCCCATGACTTAGGAAACCTCCAATATTCCTATTTACAGATGATTTCCCAACGACAACCCTTCACCGGGTTTTCTTCGAGCCCCCAACATTGGCACCGGAGAATTGCATCTGAAGCCTCAGACTGGGATATCGGAGACAAATCATGTGAGCCATTCCAAAATACCCTGTTTTCCCATCTCATGAAAGGTTAAAAAGACAGGGTTGACGTTTCATAGTAGGGAAACCTTTCAACTTACTATAATTCTCTAAATATACCTAGTTGGTTTAAAATGGTGAAACCCTACTATGGGTTAGCATATGTTAGCATAATCCTCAGAAAAATGAGGTAGCATAAGTCCTTAGCGTAACCAATCAACCAGGGTATTTTGAATGGTTCCTGTTGTGGCGGTATACCCCATGGACTTGGGTCCTTTGGATTTACCAAACAAAAATATCAAATTTACCACATTCTCTGAAGGGAAAAGTGTTGGACAAATATATAATAATATCCAAGAATCACTCTTGTTTTATGATCTAATTGTGTGGCAAC